CGGAGAATCACGCATCCCACTGGAACTTAGCCCAAGGCATGGCAAGGTGCGTTAATGGTCTCCCAATCAAAAAAGACTGATGCCCTCTAATACGCATGTTCAAACATTGGCCTGTCTGGCCGACGTAGACACGACCGCACGACAGAGGGACGCAATAGACGACGTTAGACATCAACCCTTCATGATGGGAACCTAACCTTGTGGTTAACGGAGCAACCGCTCCTCCCTACGTTATCAAGCTTCTTACTCACAACTTAACATAGTCTGTCTAGCTTGTTATTAGCACAGAAAACAACCCTTAGGCCGCGTTCACACTGAGCAATCCGGCCGCCGAAAGTGCTCCGAATACGCTTCGGCGGCGGCGAGATCCGTCGAAAGGGCCCTCTCCGCGCCGATCGCTCACGGACCGATTTTTGCGGCGTCTGCCACCGAATCGGTCACCGCGGACCAATAGGAGCGCAGTCAAGGAATGTTGAAAAATGGCGGCCAAGCCCTACTCACTTGTTATGCAGCAGTGCACGTAACTGAATGTTGAAACCAATGGGAGTTTAAACTGCTCTGTGCCTACTTCACCTCCATATTTCGTGAAAGAGGTGACCGAGCTTGCTGTTGGCGTGACCGAGCTTGTTGCGGTCTTGCAGAGCGAAATGAACCCACCAACGCCGCTGGCGTCGGTGGTTTTTCTGCTCTTCGTGCATTACAAGACAGCCACTTGCCAGCAAAAAAAGCAGCACTGTCTTTTCTTGCTTCTTGCGTACGAGAATCGTCGAAGTATACACCCCCAGATAGCGTAGTAGCGTTTGCGAGCCGCGACAACAACCGGGTGACAGTGCATCCATCCCGCGTTCGCCCCGTAGTAGATGGCATATTCGGCGGCGCGGGGCGCGTCCAGTGCGAACGACGCTGCGTTTCGGCGGCAGGGGAATTTCGGTCGCTGTAGAAAGCGGATGTTTCAGTGTGAACTAGGCATTAGAACAAACCGCTGGGCTGCTTTCTTAAGCCGATGTGAGAGCGCTTGCACGGATTGCACAAGAGCCATTTTATCATTGTGAATGGTATTCCGGCTTCGTGCATCGATACCTTTTATCTTGTTTGATGATGGCTGGCAGGTGATTTGTATCACTGAGACAGGGAAGGCTCCGTTTTTTAGACAATCTACCTGCTCTTCAAAGCTCCACAGAGCAAAATGTGTACAATATCTGTTGACAGTGGATTTAGGACACGACAGAGCAATGCCGTTTTTCAACAGCCTGTAATAAAAGAAAGGGTAGCTGAGGAGCGGAATTATAGATCGGGGTGCATGCATCCAACAGACACGCAGTGAAGAAAAAGAAGAAATAAACTTCCCCCTTTTTCCTAGTAATCAGCGGATTACCCAACCATAGGAGTTTATTTCATCACGAGCCGTTTACCATATGGCACATAGTGTCTATCGAATACGAGCGAAGTTAAAGTGGTTCAATGCTAGCTCGTGCCGTGCTCCTGTATGAGAGCGGTTGCGTTGAAAGCTACGCGGGGGCTACAGAGAGGGCATGAAGCTATAACTCTGTCGTCCTTGGTGAAAGGAAACATGGAAGTGCGTAGCTGGCACTCTGCGGCGGCCGCAGAAGCGCCATCAACCGAGAGCGAAAGAAAACACGTTCAATTTTGCCGTCATTTATTGACGAAGAAAATAACCAGTATAGGCCCGTAGAAAAGCGCTGCTAGATTGCGCTCCCACTCGGATCGCGCAACCAGCGGTGCCTGTAGCGCGTCGTCTACTGTGGACAAATCAAGCGTGGTGTGCCAGCACTTGCTACACGTAAATGCAGTGTCTGTGGGTTTACGCGAGTTTCACTTTGACCAAACCAAAGATGTACAGGTGAGAGGGCTGCAATCAGGTGGATGTGTGGTTGTTGTTTATCACTTCATATAGAGAGTGTCATTCAGTGATACTGCCACGTTCCTTCCTCCAGTTTCCTAATCGCCCCGTTACTGTACACATTCCTCAGCAAAAGCGTGCCTGCAGTATTCGAGAAGCTTCTGGGTTTTAGTAGATCATTTCATTAAGATGACACCCACTTCGCGAACATTGCGGATTATTGTGCAACCTACGTCGCCACTAGCGATTATGCTAGAATGTTCTGCGGCAAGTGTATAAATGCCGACACTCTTCGTCACTTCTCAGTTGATCGACTGCCGATGCTCTGCCGGCCGCTATCAGTGCCAGTACCTTGCTGCAATATGACTTTTCTTTTACGTGGCCACAATTTTGATCAGAAATAAACAGTTTAATATTCGACCTGTAGTTTGCCCTCTTCGTCCACGTCACAACCCCTAGGACAAAACTCTGCATCATACAAGCTCCATGTCTTCGTCTTGGAGCTCGTACATTTCCGTAATGCACCAATCATTACGTTTCTAAGAAATTTATTCACAACATTATAGTTCTCCAACGAACAAAAATGAGAATTTTCAATTAAACATAATATGGCTTCAGCTGCGTTATCTTTCTGCGTCGTGAATACCGGAATATTTTTTCGTGAGACTCGCTCGAAGAGAAGCCTCAGACCGCCTTGCTTGCTACTAATCCCGTAAATCGAGCACGTTCGTCCGAGGATATGAGTGGACATCAAGAAAACCGTGGTGGCGATTCCACTCGGCTAAATTGTCACTTTGTATATACGAAAATATACACCAGCAAGAGGAATACCAGGAAGAGAGTTATCAAGATCGCACGTGTTCAGCTCGAGTAACGAGAAAAATTATCGGGCTCAGCATTGCTGGGTTGAGTCAGGGACATATTGCCTCTATCATGAGGAGGCCCCTACAAAAAGTAAATAGCATAGTACAGGCCCCCAAGAAATAATTTCGTGTGAAGGGCGCTCCACATAAATGCACACCACAGGCAATGACTGTGGGCGAAGCCCGCGCGATAGCAGCTGCAGTCGAAGTGAAATCATAGATGAGATTAGACAGATACCACGTACTGTGGGAATCGATAATATGCGAAGCACGAATGACGAAGGTTGATATGTGACTTCGAAATCAGCACAATGTTTCGAGGCAGACATAAATTATGCTGTGCTTGACTTCCACGTCATGATTATTTCGTTAGGACGTGTCACTTACCTACGTCGTCTATTCACGTCACGTCATAACAAATTTCGGATATGTGGAGCTAGCGAAACGGCTGCAAACATAATATGAGTGTAGCATGTAGTCATGTTTTATATAACACGAATATTACGAATATCATGCTTAGACGTGTCATTTAATTTTGTGGTTCATTTACGTCACGTAAAACCAATTTTGGTATTGTGAAGCTAGCGAAACAGCCGCAAGCGCATCATAAGCGTGGTTTGCTGTCAGGTTCGTACATGACACGAATGTCATGATTAATATGTTTGGACATGTCATTAATTTTCGTCGTCTCTTCACGTTACGTGATACCAAGTTTGGTACATGTGGAGCTAGCGAAACGGCCGAGAGCGCGCTATGAGCGTAGCATGTAACCATGTTTTGCATGAAACGCATGTTATGATAAGCATGGTGTACACTTCGGGGGCATTGCGTATTTGCATTCGTTCTAAGGTTTTCCTTACTTTTTCTGGTGTTACTGGTGGGATGCCAAATTCTTATGAACTAGTATTGCTTCTCACTATATTATCTTGGGTGTTTCGGCTTCTGTACAGATCCCTGTAGAACTCCTCTGGCAGCTTGACTATCCTATCAGTTTTCCTCACGACATTGTCTTCTTTGTCTTTAATGCATACATCCTATTTTTGCCTATGCACAAGATTGCCTTCGCAGCTTTTAGGATTTCGCAGCTATTTAAAATCTGCTCGATTCTCTTCATGTTATACCTTGTGATGTCGGCTACTTTACGCCTAATGATTGTATTCGAAAGCTCCAGTAGCTCAATTTCGTCAGCTGCCTTTAGCGTTTTTTTGTTTTTTCGTTTTTTAATGAGATTTGTCGTCTCCTGAGATAGTTTGTCGGTGTCCTGTCTAGTGACTGTATCTCCAACTCCCACTGCGCACTTTTTAATGATGCTAGTAAGATTATCGTTCATTGTGTTCACGCTAACGTCGATTAACTTGCTTAGTCACGAACCTTTTCAGAATTGTTAGTCTACATTGTCTACTTTCCTTTTCACCACTTGCTCATTATTTGGCTTCTTGCGTGTCAAGTTATGCTTTACCCTTTTTTAAATCTAGGCGAATAATGTGCTCTTACTATTCTATGGTCCCTGCATCGAATCTACCAACTACTTCTACATCCTGTACAATTCTTGGGTGTGCATACAGAATGAAGTCTATTTCGTTTTTAGTTTCGCCATTAAGACTTGTTTACCTGCACTTGCGGTTAGCTCGTTTTTTTGGAAGGTTTTCAAGATTCGCAAGCTGTTGCTTTCTGCAGACTCCACTAATAAGTCCTCTCTGGAATTTCTACAGCCGATACAGTACTCTCCGACAGCATATTCTCCGGCCTGTTTTTTTGCCAATGCTGGCAATAAAGTCACCCATCAGAATAGTATACTGTGACTATATGAATGGCTGACTCTACGTCTTCATAGAAGCGTTCAACCAAGCGATAGTCATGGCTTCATGTAAATGCCTACACCTGTACCCTGTTTATCTTGTATCTTTCGTTAAACATAATTATGGTTTTTTCAACGCTCTCACTGATGCTGTAGTATTCCTACTTGTTGCCAGCAGTATTATTCTGTATAAGAAACCCCACCTCCAGTTATTTTTTGCCAAATAATTCACGGTAGCATAGGACGTGTCCGTTCCTCATCCTAACTACGCTGATTACATCCTGTTGAATACCCTTTGATTTCTCGAATAGGACAGCTAAGCTAGCTTCACTAGATAGCGTTCAAGCGTTGAAGGTAGACAAGTTCAGATTTCAGCGGTAGCTTGTCTGAACACAGAGATTTTTAGCACCCTTCGCTGTGCCGCAGGTCTGCCCAGTGCCTTGGACAGTTGCTTCGCAGCCGCTGGGGACTGAAGGCCAAGGCTTAACCCATTATTGCCCCTTGTTGCATATCTGCAACACCCATGTCCGTGCCCTGCCGATTGCAAGGATCCTAATGCACCGGTATAAGTTGTTCATACTATTTTATTTTGAGGGTTCTTCGTTCCACGCAGTACATTTTTCAGCCACTTGGGGGCCACATTCGTCGTATCTGCAGTTTTCAAAATGGCAGCATCCATGTCGTCGTCGAGCTCCGCAAACAAGGTACTGTAAATATTTTTTTATGAGCCCTCAAGTTAACCTGCGCTGCTTTTTTTTACTGAATGTGTGTTCGAAGCACTCTTGACAGTAATCTAGAATCCAAAATTTAGTTTTTGCTTGCTCTGTTCGAGAAATAATTTTTTGCACGTGGTGTGTTGCACATATGCAACAGTGGACACTAAATGCCACAATTTTCATTGTTGCAAATATGCAACATGGCTTTTCTGCTTAAAACGCGTCTTACATATCGTGACACGCATTCGTTTGGAGTGTGTGAACGGATGTTTGTTTGCTAATTTTGCTGTTTTAACAATTTTTCAGGGACATACTGCAATTTCAACCTCAACATTCTATTCTGTTCTAAAAGAGAGGCCGAAGCGTTTTGTTCATGCAAACCTGCTGGATGCTATCGACCCTAATGAGAGCGATTTTTCCGCTGATAAAAAAAGTGACGAAAAAGTGTCTGGAGACAGCAGTGATGAAGGAGATGCCATCCAAACTGAGGTAAAAGAAGCTGAGGAAGAGGTTGCTACCTCGACGGATGCGCCTTCTGTAGATCGGACACCGCGGAACATGAAAAGGCGGTACACATGGGTGAAGAAGGATTTTGATATCGAGGCAGGTAGTTTCGAGAACAACTTTCCGCTGCCACCTGCAGAGCCGCTGAGTGCAGTGGAATACTTTGACGTGTTTGTTTCTCGATCCATGCTAAAGGCTGTCGTCGATGAAAGCAATAAGTACTACTTTCAAAAACATGGAACCACTCTAAACCTCACCGTAGAAAAACTTACACCTGTGCTGGGCATGTTTTTCAGGATGGGACTTGTAAACATGCACAGGGTTCGTGCGCATTGGGAAAATGAAAGTAGATATGAATTAGTAGCCCAGGTAATGTCCCATAACAGATTCGAAAAGATCACAAGCCACCTGCATTTTTTCGATAATGAAGCGGCCAATGACAAAGTAAAAGAAGACAAATGCTGGAAAGTGCGCCCATGGCTCAGTTCCTTGCGCAGCAACATGGTTGTCTTGCCCCAAGAAAAAAAAATCTGCAGTGGACGAAATCTTGATCCCTTTCTGTGGGCGGTGTTACGTTCGTCAGTACATGCCTAATAAACCAAAGAGTAAATGGGGTCTAAAACTTTGGGGACGTTCCGGGGAATCAGGTCTGTGTTATGATTTTGATGTCTACCAGCGCTGCAACAAAGGTTTTTATGGCAGCCAGGGTGGCTACCAGCTTGGGTTGGGAGCTGCTGTCGTGCTCCAGCTGTGTTCCAGCCTACCGAAGCGCGACGACAACCTAGTCGTCGCTGATAACTTCTTCACAGGCCCTCAGCTTGTAGAGGAGCTTTCAAGTATGGGAATTTTCTATATTGGTACGGTTCGTGAAAACAGACTGAGCTGCAGCAAGTTGATGGAGGAGAAATTGTTGAAAAAGCAAGGTCGGGGCACCTGTGATACTTCAGTCACTTTGTGTGACCAAAAGACAAAGGCAGCAGCGAAGTGGCATGACAACCGCACTGTTACTCTTCTTTCGAACTGCATTGGTGCTGACTCGCTTACATCAGTCAAAAGGTGGGACAGCAAGGAGAAAAAGCACATTTTTGTCGATTGTCCAGCGATCATTCCTTCCTACAACAAATCAATGGGTGGCATGGATCTTCTTGACAAAATGGGCTTCTCCTATCGCTTTTCTAACTAGTCTAAACGCTGGTATATATATTTGTTTTGGCACGCGCTCAAAATATTAGCTGTTAATGCATGGTTCATGCACAAGAAAATTCTCCAGCAGCACAAACGGCCGCCTACATCCTTGAGAGAATTCCTCTCTGAGCTCGAAACAAGTCGGATCTTACTCAACAAACGACCACCGGGGCGCCCTTCGATTCAGAATGACACACCATTCAAGATAGTGTGCCTAAATGTCCCCCGGGATGTCAGAAGAGACAGCAAGGAGCACTGGCCCACATGGAATGCAAAACAGAACCGCTGTAAGGCATGCCCAGGAGGGTACACCTATGTTTCGTGTGCCAAGTGTAAGGTGATGTTGTGTTTCAACAAAGACCGTAACAGTTTTGTTAGTCTTCACCAGTAGGCACCAAACAGCTATGCTTCAGTTTTGTGCTTTTTTCAATTTGAAAATTCGCCAAAATAATTGGTGGCAATAAAAAGTTTTTTTTCACTTGGTTTGGCCTCCATTTTATACACTACTGCCCATTGTTGCACATATGCAACATCCCATTAATAATTTACAGACTATATCTTCAAGTTTTTTATTGAACATTTGTACTCCTAGTGACTCTAAGATCATGGCCAAGAAATATTTTGAAGTTTGAAAAAATGTTTCTCATACTGGGAATTATTGGGTTAATTACTGTAGCCTTGGAAGGTAGTGGCGAAGTACTGCACCAGGGTGGCCAACCTTGCACTGGTGACGAAGTGCGTTAGTGGTAGGTGGTCGCCAGTGATTCCGCACCCCACACCACTTATTTTTTCTTCCAACAATTCTCTTATCACGCGTTGTAATTAAACAGGCATGGTTAGGCATCGGCATGAATTCGAGCCGAATTTCATCATCTCGATCTAGGCTGCTGTGCTATCTATAAGCATGTGTTTTCTAGCACTTTCTTAGCACTGTAGAACAACACTTGAGCACCCATCAGTACTGAACTTTATCTGACTTCTAGTTCACGCGGCCTTTTTCCTGAACCATTTGAAATTAAAAAAGAAACACGAACTCGTGCGGTTTCGAACTTCTGAACTTGCGATCTTAGGCCGGCGTGTTGCACTGGATTACCATCCCTTTCCCCAGTCTACCTTTTCCCGACTCCTCCCATTCCCACATAAACCTGACAATGTTGCTTCCAAAGCGTCCTCAATATCGGAGCTTTGCTCACTTCGAGGGGCAACACTGCCACTTCCCGCCAACTGGCGGGCCGCGCACACCTGTTTTATGAAAGAATCGGCCACTACTCTATCATTACCACGTTGAGCGTATATGACACGGGGAGGACGGCCGGAGTGCATGAAAATTTAAGGTGAAGAGCTTCCTATTGCCAAACGTTGATGGTGTTAGAAAGGGTCCCGCCTGCACTAGATTTCGTTTTATCAATTGTTGGCCGAAGACGGCGTTTAGTAGGTGTAAACATTCATTGTGCATTAGACGCGTAAGCGTGGACCTATTGTTGACTTGTGCTAGTTTTTCAGCACGCGTCTTCATTGTGAGCTAAAAAATGGCAGCTTATCCACGGAGTGAATGATGGATAGTGGGGTGAAGCATCCCATCCATCCGTCCATTTGTTCTTGCTTCCGTCCATCCATGCGTGCGTCTGTGCGGCCGCCCGTGCGTCCATCCGCCCGTCCGTGCGTGCGTCTGTTCATCTGTCCGCACGTTCATCTGTACGTCCGTCCCTGCTTTCCTTTATACATTTGCTCTTGCGTCCGTCCATGCGTCCATCCGTCCGTGCAGTTATCCGTGCGTCCGTCCATGCATCTGCCTGTGTGTCCGTTCGTCCACCTATTCAACACTACAAGTACCACCATCTCGCATCTTTTCATTATATATTCTTCATATAGAAGCACCACCATCCAGCGGACATTCCAAGGACTGAACTAGAGGAGGCACACGCACACTTTCTTACGGCTTGCGCTTTGTGTCTACTTCCCACCTTTAACCACATCGAGTTCATGGTATATACTAGTTCACTTTATTCATGGCACTGCGGCCCAACGCTCGCTAAAGCTTTCTGAAACCTAGGAGGTCACTCCCAGCGAGTATAACGTAGCAACCCTTTCTTGTCTTCTCTGTGTTGTTGGACAATGAAAAATTCGCAACGTGCGCGGTAACTAAAAGCCAAATTCTCCTGTCTCTCATTCACCCTTAGCAGCTATTGGCATGTACATTGAGCACTATCTTTTATTGTTCAACAACACACAGAAAAAATCTCTCACCGACACCACCTTGGAGGTCAAAATGTTATACTTGTTACACACTACTACAACGGCTACGAGGGATGAACGGGTGCCGCTATAAGGAGCTTCGCCCCTAAAAATAAACTTTTCCAAGACACTTCCACTCACCGTATGTTCTTCAACAGCTGCGGGATCATTATATGTTATGACTACTATCCGACGTGTTTTGCTTGGGGCTGATATAACGGGTGCCATTGTATACAGCCGCGATGGCACGCATTTTAAACTATTGAGATACTGTAATTCGTCCGTGCTGCAGTATGTTGCTTTGTCTTACGTAACGATCGCAAAGTTCAAATTTACGTGAAGGTGTTTATGCAGTCCGCTGCGTGATATTTGAGCTGGGGTTTTATTTCACACGCAACATAGGTTGACTGATGCAGCCCGCATTCCTGCATTCTGAAGTGTTCATTAAACTTGAGCTCCATTCAAACAAATTCAGGGCTTTTCACGGCCGAATCTTCCTACCTCAAGAAGTGGGATCCTCCTATTGAAATGTCGGCGTGCCTGTCTGAGGCACTTCCACTGTTCCTGATTATCCCACTGTGTTGTTTCCATCTGTCGGCTCCCATCTACATTTTAAACTTCTACCTCAAGTAGGTTCTCCAATAAAAGAGTTGAAAGCTTGTTACCACAAGCCTAGATTTAGTAACAGGAGCTGTTACTAACTTTTTTGGGCACTAACATTCTTTTGTGACCTTTTTCTACGTATGTTTGCAGAAGTGTAAACGCACAACGATTGTTTTGCGCACTGTTATTAACTTCTTTCCATGCACCTTTATAACAAGGCGGTATCACGCTGAGTAGACATAACATATTTTTTGTATGAACATTTGCCTAAATGTCCTACGCTACATTACACCGAGCACATATTCTTAACATCTAGTACTTAATATAAATGTATACTGTGTAAACAAACAAGCAAGTGTAGCATAGTTATCCCAGAACATAGGCGCCCATCAACCCCATTTGCGTTGCCTAAACGTAGGAACATACCAAGAAGCACTCACAAGCTGAACGGGTCGCGTGGAGTTATCGTTGCGTATCAGTGTGGTGCCGAGAGTCACCTGGGTCTAGCAATACAAGCTAATGCCTTGCGTTGAGTGATGCAAACGTCATTACATTCGTACGAAGTTTCTTGCCTTGCGCCGCTTTCTAGTACTGGAAATAATTAGCTCCTTACCTTTTCATCTAATATTTAACGTTATTAGGCTAATCGTAGATTTAATTACTAGTATGTACATCTGGCTCCTGACTGCAGTTCACTGTCTACTTCTATGTCAATTTACTAGAGTTTCAATTACTACCCTAAAATGCCAATAATATAGGATACACTCTTGAAGGCAGCGCCTTTCTATTCTTTGGCATGCGAAAAAAACTCTCAATAACAAAATTAACTACAAAATCCGGCTGGCGTGTGGCTGTTCATATGAGAAGTTACGGTGAAAAGGTAGCCCATATATGGCGTTCCTTGAAGTACTTGCTGATAAAAAGCACAAAGAGAAAATTTCACCGAAGTGAGAATAAGGTGTCCTACCATGCTTCAGAAATTTTCACGTCCTTTGCTGGGTTTCGAGCGATGTTTTATGGTTTTTTCAGAAACCTGCGACGCGATGGCAACAAATGGCCCTTCGCTACCGCAAAGGCGACACCAAACCCAGTCGTCGTCACTCGAAAATCAAGGGCATCGGGGTGGGCCTTAAAGCTTTGCATTCGCAAGAAGCGACCACATGGTTGGTGCGAGCAGTTTCGTGACCTTCGCTCAGTGTGTGCTTGCCAGCTGGGATGTCTTTACACTCGCACCGTTTGCGAACTCCCCGGTGGCGTACGGATAAAAAAAGACAGGGAATGTGCTGCGCTCAGAGAGTAGAATAACAATACTGTGCGCGGCAGTGGGTGAGGGGAAGAAGAGTGAGCGAAGATGGCTAAAGGTGGTTGCCATAACAATGAAAAACAAAAGAAAGATATCCAACGGGCAAGGAAGTGTCAGGTGTCGATTAAAGGTACTGCAGCGGTCAAAGGCAGGGGGTGCCTCTGTTACGCAGGGTAAAAAAAGAATTCTGAGTTTTACGACTGAAGTTGGGGGGTGTTTATTACGTGAGTGTGTTTATTTACACGAGTAAATACCGTATATTGTGCAACAAAATATGTACCACTATCAATGAAATCAATATTTACTTGTTATCATTGTCTCCAGGGTAGTCTTCATTCAACTGAATGCAAGTTTGGAAGCGCTTTACCGTTACTTGTTGAGCCTCCATTGTATGTTTGGCCCAAAACTACTCAATATCATTGAGAAACGTGGCATTTTAGGCCGTCCATCACTAAAATATTTATATTTGCTAAAGAATGTGATTTAGCTCAAAACACCTACCAAGTGGCCGTGAAACTCTACAAGTGCCTCAGTGGAAAAAAAAAGCCTGAATACGCTTCCTATAAGACAAACTAGAACTCTGGTACGACTGCTTATGGCAAAGTTTTGTCAAAACTTATGTTCAAGACAATAAAAACATATCAGCATGTTAGAAAAAGCATTATGCAAAGCATATGATCTAGATCATTATTGAGCAAACTATTGGTACACTGGGACACAGTAACTCATTCTCATGTAAATTAGAGCAAGCAAGCGCATATAACCACTACAACAACTATCAACGAACATGTTATGTACACAACTAATAAGATAATTTATCACAAGTATTGACCTCCTTTGAATGATAGTATGGACAAGCGGCCCATAAGAAACTTTTACGGCTGGTGCACAGTAGAGTGCGTAGCAGTGATTCGGACACATTGTGCACTTATTGGTTCAACAAAATAGGTGAGCACTTCAACAAACATTTCTGAGGAGTCTTTCATGAAAGTACATTCGCTCTTAAGCACACCACTTATTGGATTTATGCTTAATTTTACTACTCAGAAGCTAACTGCTCTCAATTAGAACAGTTTTTCATTCAACAGTGCAGTCGAAATCACCTAAAAGTTTACCGGTTTTAACAACATATCGGTTATAACACTAAAAGAGCTGCTGCACTCTCAACTTTTGTATGTTTTTATGGTGAAATAGTGTGTTTATTATAATGTACTCGTGCCTGATCACCATTTAAAAATCGATTCTGAATATTGGTTGTCCATGCTGAAAGATCTGTGAACGCAAAAAATTGAAAAGAATAAAGGAGAGAAACCGACAAATTCAACCGATACCCACATACCTAAGGTACCACAACGCCTCTTCGCATTTAAAATATGTTTCACCGCAAAGCCAACTTTTGAAAGCTGGCTACGGCACGGGAGTGGTGGTTTATGGCTTTTGTTAATGCCAGTTCGGAAATGCAATTTGATTGATTGATTGATTTGTGAGGTTTAACGTCCCAAAACCACGATATGATTATGAGAGACAACGTAGTGGGGGGCTCCGGAAATTTCGACCACCTGGGGTTCTTTAACGTGCACCCAAATCTGAGCACAGGGGCCTACAACATTTCCGCCTCCATCGAAAATGCAGCCGCCACAGCCGGGATTTGATCCCGCAACCTGCGGGTCAGCAGCCAAGTACCGTAGCCACTAGACCACCGCAGCGGGGTCGGAAATGCAATTTGAATACAGTCCTAGCGTCCGAAACTTCAGACGTTGTCACACAATGGCTCTGTGGCGTTTGTGGCGCTCCTGTGAAAGAAAGCGTTCAAATTTTCAAGCATGCCCGATAAACCAGCAGCATTTTCATCCTTATCTCTGGTGTCTTTTGACATGCCCCATTTGACAGTGGAGTTTTCTCACAATAACCAGCCACCCGACGATTTCCATTTTTCCGTGCTACCCGTATATAGCAATTACCAAGTATAACAATAAAACTTTTATGGCACTTAGGTATTGTTTCAAATGGGTTCGACTGTTTAACTATTACTAGACAACACAACCCTCTTGAAATTATTGAAAACTAATAGAATATTTTGTTCTACCATCTTCTATGTCATATTTCATTACAATGTCACACGACAAGAAGCCTTGCTTGGCCTGAAATAGGTTCAGCAATAGCCGCGCCTAATACTTGGGTTCAACTGTTTAACTCTAACTGGACAACTGAACCCTCTTCAAGTTATTGAAAAATATTAGAACACTTTGTCAAAGCAGCTTCTATGTTATTATTTCATTACAAAGCCACACGTCAAGACGCCTTTTTTTGGCCTGAAAGAGGTTCAGGAACAGTCGCGCCTGCTACTTGGGACGTCCAATTGCCATTTGTATAACAACATAAGGCAGTGTATGCCTATCATAGTAGCAAATTAAATATGCCAATCTCTACATTTTCATGCCTACCGTTTTACTATACTGTATGAAATATGACACTTTCTTAACTTTTGCAAGTCAGCTCTTTAAATGCTACCACTTTTGCTAAAAACGTTACTTCTTTAAGATATTATGTAAAAGGCCTGTTATGCACAAAAACCACTTGCACTGTTTAGGGCCGTGATTCTGCAATGGCGATCAACAACACGCGGCTACTGCCCATTCCTTGACTTCATCAGGCTGAGCCTGACAAGGAATTGAACCCCTATATCCGTCCCCTTTCTAATCCTCATGTACATGTAAAAGTACTTTCATTTGCAGGAAAATTACATGTAATCCAAAGTAGTACATAAGGGCACATCAAACGCACTAACTGATGTGTTCCTTCAGGTACTGGCGCTTAGTACTTTTTATGCCCTCCGTTCATATGTAAGCATATTATATAGAAAGCTTCCAAATGATTTAGCGCACTTACATCTATCTATCTATCTATCTATCTATCTATCTATCTATCTATCTATCTATCTATCTATCTATCTATCTATCTATCTATCTATCTATCTATCTATCTATCTATCTATCTATCTATCTATCTATCTATCTATCTATCTATCTATCTATCTATCCATCTATCTATCTATCTCTCTATCTATCTCATAAAGTTTCCCACAATACTTACTAGAGGGAACTCTGGCGCTAGTGTCTATGGGAGCTGCAACACACGGCGTTTCAGCGAGCATAAGAATGATGGGTAGTACACACATTTGTCTAAACTTCGTACTTGTGGCCTGCTTTTGGCTCCGTGTGTGTTCGTGTGGCTTGAAGCTGTTTTCTCATGAAACAAAAATCGGCAAATGTTCAGCGATTGCGCTTCGTCACCCTAATTTTTTTAATTACCTTTCCAAATTGGGTCACGAAGTTTAAAGGGTTGAATCTTTCTTTCAAAACAAAATCGAAACACAGCAATAAATGAAGCCGCAAGTACGATTCGCCGCCCGCAAGTACGCAGACTAGGCAAATGTATGTACTACCCATCATTCCCATGGTCGCTGAACGATCGCAGCGCCAGAGTGCCCTCTAGTTAATTTTGAGAAACTCTATGATCTATCTATCTAGCCGCTTACGTTTGGGTGCTCTCGTGGTCACCCCCATAGCCTGGCGTGAACCAAAATTAGCATGGGAGGGTCAGATGGTTTGACAAATATGACGCGCTGGTCAAGACATCAATAATGTCACAATCCTGCCACGTACGTCGTCGAACACTTCCTGTCATACAGTGGCACATACTCACGGGTGAATATGTGCCGCTTGTAAGCGGTTATGTGCCACAGGTGATTGACACTTGGTACCTACCCAGGAACGACGAGAACACAGATGGGCAGCTTTAATGCGTGAGCGTTAAGCAATACCTGACATCGGTATCATCGACCCAATGAAGGCATAGAATAAATTTCAGTGTTAAGACAAACCTGACATAGGCAGTGTTGGCCACCCGACGAATGCAAATAATTAATTTCAGGGTCCCAGCAGAAATCTAACCCGAGAATCCCGCGTGGCAGTCAAGCATTCTACCACAGATTTACGCCAGGTCTCAGAAATACTTTTCAAATAGACGCCAATCTTGGTGAAACGTTAATAGTGGTTGTAGTGCTGCCTACCTAATTTTTTATACATTACATATGTACTCCTTTCGTACAGCCGTCCCGTCGGACTAACGTCAATTGTGGTGAGGTGCCGTGTGCTGAAATTGATTTAAGTAGCAGTGTCAAGGGCCAGCATCCTCGCGAGCATCAGCGCTTCATATTAGCTTATTAGCTTCTGGTGTTGCTAAAACGCATTTCCAGCTGACATCGTTGTGCAAGTAGAAAACTGGCTCTATAAAAATCTACAAATCTTCAATATATGTCTCTGCTTGCTACGTTTGTACATATATTTAGCGTCATTTCATGACGTGTCGCTCAAAAAACAATGCAACACAGTCAACTTCCCTCCGTGTGCTTCGCATAAAGTTGATTCGCAGGTACGTGAGACCTGCCGAATTTTTTTTTCGACACAAGCTTTCAGCGCAGTTTTTATACTTTCTAAAGTAGTGACCTGACGATAAAGACCAATGCTCTTTAGTTTGATGCTTCAGGTGAAGAAATGAGAGAAAAAAACAGCTCATTCAAAAAGGAAGAAAAGAAAGTGGTTAGGCATGGATACTATTATAAAAATGGCCAGAGAGCTAAAAGTCGTAGGAGGCTAGACACTGTCAGACCGACGGACGGACGGGCGGACGCACGCACAGACAGAGAGACAGACAGACAGACAGACATACAGACAGACAAATAGATAGATAGATAGAAAGATAGATAGATAGATAGATACGCTCAAAGTCGCCAAAGGTGAGACACCATTGTTTCGCATTTAACAGCCCGTGAAATTCTGCAGGAACTGGGTATTCAGGTGTCCGAGACGACTGCGAAGCGTCACTCCGCAGAAGCTGGCCTAAGAATGAGGGTGGCCTGCCACAAGCCTCTGCTGCAAAAACCAAACCATGCGAAATGGCTGCAATTTGCAAGGGACCACGAACCATGGACCACTTCTGACTGGGAGAAGGTTGTTTTCACCGGCGACACCTCATTCACGACCAGGTGGAACCTGAGGCAAGAAGCGTGGCGTCCAGAAAACAGTCGGTATGTGATGTTTATTTTTTAAAATAATAATAACTCAAAAATGTTTAAAAACCCCTACCCGACAATTGCAATTTTTGTCCACTTTTTGTTATTGTAATGTTTTATATCGTGTTTACAAAATAAAGTATTTGATATTGAAGGCGTGGTGTAGTTACGCTCACTTGCGTTATTATAAGGCTGTGTTTGGTTTTATCACTGCCAATGTTATCGTCGTCTGTATTAGTTGATATATAAAGTATGTTTGGTATATCCTGAATATATAGACACGGAAAAGGTGGCAGTAGGTTAACTGCTGCCAAAGACAGTGGCACACCGCCAGCCGAAATACTGTCTCGTAATGAGATAATACAAATAACTATAAGTTTGATGGCATCGCAACCTGAATAAACATAAATTAGTATTTATGATAGACACGAATAGACCTTAATACAATGCACGCTATGTAGCCCAACGGAATTACATATTGTTGGCGTGAGTGTAGTGTATTCGACATAACTAAACTGTCTGTTGATTTGAGGTGAATGGGCTAATGATGCTTCTGAACAGTTACAGCCCCAAATACCCCCTGGAAGTGGCGGCAAGTGACCGTTCAGCAGTGTTCGTGTGGGGTCTTGTGACCAAAGAAGGACTTGGTCCGCTAGTCCTCATAAAGGACACATACACATCTGAGTGCTACTGCTCGATCCTGGACGACGTGATGGTGCCTTACTTGTCCGAAGGTCCATTCCCAGAAGGCGATTACATCTTACAGCAAAACAACTCGCCTGTTCACAGATCCCGAAAGGTAACAACGTTTTTAGAGAATCGTGGCATCAACATCCTCAGCTGGCCACCCCAGTCGCCAGACCTTAACATCATAGAGAGTGTGTGGGACCTCATGAAAACTGCACTACAGAGTCGGTCTCTACACGGAGTCTCTGCTGACGATCTCTGGGAAGCCATAAACGAGGAGTGGGAGCGGCTGAGAAGCGACAGGTCACTGACAGCTGACTTGTATAACTCGCTGCCTTCAATAATGGCAGCTGTTGTCACAGCAAATGAGGAAGCTACAAGGTAAGACAGGTGTGTCATAACATTAAATTTCAGTTCTGTTTTCTTGGTACTCGAGACAAAAGAAAATGTTTCGTATTATATTGCGATAGCAATATTATTGGCACTGCCGCCTGGATTTTGCCGCCGGCGTCACCTTCACTCACTATGCATGAGTAGGTATCTATATATATGTAAGCACAAGAAATAAAATTAATCCAGAAAAGGAATTCGCCACGCGGAACCGAACTTCCGACCTCTTAGTCGTGAGTGCGAAGCGTTAACCGCTGGGCTATGTAAAAGCACCTCCTCTAACGATCAAACGGCAAGCTATTTATATATACCGCTTACAGCTGCTGACGGGTATCTCTGGGGGAACTATTGTGTTTTCAGCATTACCAGCAAGATGGCGCAATGAGCAGGCTCAGAGTAAAGGTCGGAGCCCAGCTCGCTGCGATGCGCGCACAACTCCCCCGCGTGCTTTGCTCCGCGGATGTAAGGGGCCTTACAGGCGTCAGACACCGGAGTTTCGTGGACACGCAGCGCCACTTGTCGACGCAGTTTCGATTAGTGCAAAGCCTGGCTAAGGTACTCGGCTGCTGACCCGCAGGTCGCGGGTTCGATTCCCGGCTGCGGCGGCCGCATTTCCGAAGGAGGCGGAAATGTTGTAGGCCCGTGTGCTCAGATTTGGGCGCACGTTAAAGAACCCCAGGTGGTCGAAATTTCCGGAGCCCTCCACTACGGCGTCTCTCATAATCATATGTTGGTTTTGGGACGTTAAACCCCACAAATCAATCAATCAATTAGTGCAAAGCCCGACTCTCGTGCACTGTTTTCTGCGCAACCAAGTGACAATAAAGCATACGCAACAACGATTCAGCTAAATATTATTTGTATTTGCGCAGTGAACACTTAAAAAAAAGAGTTACGAATTCCTCTCCGCTAGTCGGACGCGTCACTGAACCACCATAAAGTGCTTGCGCATTCACTTGCCAGAACAACGACGAGAAGAAGAGCAGACGCAACCACTCCGCGCTCTAAAAAAACCTTCCCCAGTTGACGCGACTGTTTTATTGCGAATGGCCATGGACGTGAACGATTTCCGTTTTGCGGATTTCTGCAACTTTTACGAAGCAGAACGGTGATAACGCAGGATACGAGCCGTCCCAAACGTGTTGGTAAGCGAATTACTTGCGTTCTCCACAGCGAGCCTCATGAGATAGCGTGATTAAAAGTGATATGATAATGCGCCCTATCGTTACCACGGAGAACCGTGGTAACCTTGATCATTAGGTTAAAAGGGGCCCTCTAACGCTTGAAAACATCGGTGCCGACTGCATATGTCGTAGTTGCGCTCGTCAGAACTACTGCGATCGTAAATGACGTCAGAAGGTTGCCGCCGTATAATTGAATAAATATAACCTAAAATAGATCGCGGCATTGCACCAAAATACAGAATAATATTGAATAAATTTTCTCATTAGCATGGTTTTTCACTCAAAACGACAGAGAATAAAGCTCTCCGACTTTTCCAGCTTGAAAACCACCAAGCTGGCCAAAGAATTTGCCGAACGCACTGTGCTGGAGGACACGCGCTGGCGACGCTCCAGGCACCTTTATTTGAAGAAAGTAAAAGAAAAAGTGTTATTGAGTTGATATATATACGCAATTCCAAAAAAAACAGATCAGTAAAGTTACAAAGCAATATAAAAGCGTTCACGAGCTGGTTTGTTTCGCAAGTGTTGTTCCGTCTTGAAGTACTACATTGTTTGTCACCATCGCGACAGCGTCCTTAATATGCTGGAAGTAACGGCCAATATGTCATTTGAGCTTCATGTACGGTAGGGCTTTCAGATAATTTCATTGAGACTTCAGATGTCAGAGAGCGAGGGAAATACGGTAAGGTGAGCCCAAAAAATTGAGTTGAAAGTAAGCATTCATATCATTGTGTTTTGATATTTTTACGCTAAATTACTTTGCACTGCGCTGCCGTACTTAAGCCACTTATCTTTTAAGCCGTCAGTGTACGCAATCAGCTATAAAAACATGTTAAACTATAAAGTCGTGAAAAGTATTGAAGGGCCCCTTTTACAGAGCCTCTGATTACGGTGCGCGCTGTGAAAACGTAAACAGCTAACGCACGCCATAAATAGAGAGTTTTAGTACTGCGTACGCTGCATACGTGGCTGCGTTGCGTACATAAGGACGCCACGTTCTGCGTAGTGCGCATGTGCAGACGGCAACGCGCACGTATCGCATCACGTACGCAGCTGCTACGTACGCACGCATGATATGCGTGCGTGCGTACGTATGCGGTGATCGCGCCGCTCTCGAACAAGTTCGTGATAGCGCGAGACTTCATTTTGCAAAATGGCGGCATGAAGGCAAGCACCGACTGGCTCTGTGGCCTAAAATATGGCCATAATCTGGCTATTACACTTGGATTTGCTCATATTGGCTGTTGACAACACGTGCTTCTATTTTGATCTACCAGATGGCGCAACACGCTTCACGCTCGTTACGTACGCGGGTACTACGGCGTACTAAAAGCCGATTAGGGGCAAACGACGCCACGTAACGCAAGGCACTTGCGTGATGCGTAACGTAGCACCATTCTGCACTACTAAAACTTTTTAATGTCACACGCGCCGTGACCACCGACAATCATAAGTGGTCGCCACTACGCAGCGTTACGCATGTGGGGCTTTGAATGCTCTAAGTACCTACATTAACCATGGAATGTGAACACGTACGTCGCACAGGTAAATCACAAAATTATCGCGACCGCAATCAGTTTTTTTTTTTGCCTCTTGTCTCCGCAATTGCCAGAGCTATCTCGGAGGCCTCGGTTTTGCCTTTCGTTATTCACTGAGAAAGTGGACACCATTTTCGATGGAGGCGGAACTGTTGTAGGCCCGTGTGCTCAGATTTGGGTGCACGTAAAGAACCCCAGGGGATCGAAATTTCCGGAGCCCTCCACTACGGCGTCTCTCATATTCATACGGTGGTTTTGGAACGTTAAACCCCACATATCAATCAATCAATCACAAAGTGGACAGGCATCTATCCCTATTTGCAGTATATTAAAGCGGAAGACAGCCGTCAACTTAGCACTCTAGCAACAGTTCAACGCACAAATGTGATGGATGATTGATTGATTGATTGATTTGTGGGGTTTAACGTCCCAAAACCACCATATGATTATGAGAGACGCCGTAGTGGAGGGCTCCGGAAATTTTTGACCACCTGGGGTTCTTTAACGTGCACCCAAATCTGAGCACACGGGCCTCGACATTTCCGCCTCCATCGGAAATGCAGCCGCCGCAGCCGGCATTTGAACCCGCGACATGCGGGTCAGCAGCCGAGTACCTTAGCCACTGGACCACCACGGCGGGGCTACAGAAAGTGAGAGATCGGTAGAGAATGCAGCTGCAAAGACGAAAATCATCAGGGTCATTCGTGCCGGATAAAGTGAACTTCGTACCACCTTGGTTCCTGAATACTGCTTTCTGGTCATGAAACTCCCGCATCGCTCAATGGTGGCTCTTCGTACGCAGTCCGCACATTCCGCACCGCGGCGCCGACTTAGATAGAGGGGCGAGGCAGCCGGCTCGGCCGCCTGCTTTGCTAGCATCCATTAGCGGAGTGCATGAGTGGAGTGGTGGTGGTTGTGCGAAATACCCTCGATTTTTTTGGCTTTCGGGGTCACATCATATTGACAATGACGCCGAACACTTGCTGCGCGCCGGATTGTTGCTTTCATTACAAGGGCACCATCAAAAAAGTTTCCTTGTGCTGTTTCATAGCCAACGCAGAAAAACGCGACAAATGAAATCAAGGAACGCTCGGGTGTGTGAAAAACATTTTGACGTCAGTGACATTGTATGTGCGGACGTGTGCACAGTGAAGGGAATCAGTTTCGCTGCCCCGAGAACGATCAATACTGGTGGAAGCACCGTATCAAGTATTTTCGAAGGTTTGCATTTTTACCTCTCCAAATTAAAACAGCGTTCACGTGCAACACAGATGGTCCGCGTCTCCTCTTGAAAACGCAGGATCTCTTTGAACATAAAGAATCCGCTGTTGATTAGGTAAATATTTGAATAGCAGCCATCATTGCTGCTTGTGGAATGTTTGTGCATCGTAAACGTGCTGAATGTCGTTTAGTCTTCTGATGCTAATGACAAGCGCGTCCGGTCGTATGATATAGAAAGAACTTTTATTCTGCTTTTTGTGTTACATTTATTTTGAAATTTCTCGCTCTGGTCCTCGTGATATTGCGAAATACAGTTCAGATTTATACCTTAGCAATTGTTTTTGAAGAAATACTGCTGGAGCCTGCTGAATGCACGCAGGACATGATCCATCCTTAGTCAATGAAGGACTGCATTTTGGATTACATTGGTGGCTATGTAGCAAAAAAGCTTTCTAATTTAAGCTTCAAGGACTGCCTCCAAACACTCACAAGCAACTCCCGAGAGCCAAGTACATTGACACAAATCAAGCGAAGAGGACTTTTGCAAGTGCTATCGGGGAAATCATTGCGGTCATTGCAAATTGTGGAAGAACATGTAGAAAAATGTGCACCGTGTACAAAATAGCTTGTGCCAGTGTTCACATGAACATTGCTGTGAACATCCTGGTGTACGACCGCACTTCTTCGGCCAGCCTTGGCTGTGGAGCACACTTCTTGAACACTACGGCAGAAATTCTACATTTTGTTATTATGTGCCGTCTGCATTTTTTTTTCGCGTTAGCAAAACAAACTGTTTAATGCTGGCGGATGCCGTTTCTCCTGCCAGGCCAAAGGAGGAAAGGCACCAGGAGCATACATTGTTTTCAATGTGTTTTATTGCGTCGATCACTTCATCTTCCAACTTTCAACCACACTTGATAAAATGCAGATTTGAATAAACTATGTGCCTGTGCTCATGGCAATTTACAATTCTTGAAGATTGTGAGGAATTTCAGCGAAAAAAAAAACGTTACGTGCGTCCAGAACGCGGCTGCTCCGCCATCTCTCGCGCTAACTATGTTAACCTTTCAGTCATCTAGAACCAGTCACTGTTTTCTGTTTAAGACCAAAAGTGGCTATGCATGAATTCAGAAATATAGGAACGCTACGAATGCGCGTCACTTGACAGACGGAATCAGTTGAAACAGTGCCAGCAATCGAGGACTTAAGCAATTAGACAACCCGCATTATGGGTCACTTTGACAATACTAATAGCTGATATAATTTGTTAGCGAGAACACAGAGACGAAAAATATCAGAAGAAATGTTTTTAATCGGACACGGTTCCGCGAACGCGCTGCAGCCCTGCCAAGCGCGGCCGATCAATGCCCTCCTGCTTACGATGGCACCTCTTGTGGCTACTTTTGTCCGCATAGAAAAAAAGTGTTAAACACCATGGTACCACTGATCGTATCTTAGATTGCTCGTGAATGTACTTGGTCACTTTACCATCATGTGTACGCCCAAGTATAACGCATTTAGGCGTTTAATAACGAACGTTAAAGTGCTTTCATTGAACTCGATGTGATGCGATGCTCGCCTACACTTAAGCTGCAGCACACCGAGATAACTGAAACATCTTTTGCTTTGTACCCGCAGTTCGCTTTGATGAGCTTCCTACTTTTCCGAAGCGAAGTTGGATTGATGGAACAAGCTTTCCAGGTCCCCGATTTCAAGACACCGCACCTCAAGACCGACGAAACAACAGGGCCTATGCACGTTCGCTTGCGGATGGCTCCTTTAGCACTACCCATATACGGCCGGCGCGTCGATGGGGGCACTGGAAGCTGCCTTTTTTGCAGTGCCGCCTGAGCAGAGTCTGACGTCCTGCTGTGGTGGGGGAGAAATGTGCGCCTTCGACTTTGACCGGAACGATTGCGTTTAGTGGCCGGGCGCACAAAGCTCTCTGTGCAGGCCCCGTTTGCGGAAAGAGCGCACTTTTCAAACACAGAGAAGTAGCAATTGGCACACTTGTTAGTTCGCACTCATATCTGTAACTATGATTACGTTTTATGCATCGTTCTTGTTTAAACAGCGCATTAAGTGTCGAGGTGCAATCGTTGATAGTTGGCTCTCGTTATGTGTGGGTTGTTTTCGTGTGTCATTTGTGCGTGAACAGCGCGCTGCACGTTTCTATCTGCTCGCCGTCTTCAATGTCACATTCCAAGTTTCTACTATCGCATTTATTGTTTCGCCCTTGTGCAGACACTGACTTTTTGTGTTATCATATTGATATGTGTCACGGCATTTTGTGATCACTATTTTTATCTGACATATACATGTAATAAAATGTTTGCTAACGTATGATATTTTTTCTTCAAGTTTGTTTTTTTTTGCACGGCAACATCTCGCTCGCTGTCACGACGGCAAAGGTGAGTAAACGTTTCATGACATTAGAGCATAAAGTCCACATATACCTAAGCCAGAGTACTTTTTGTTCTTGGCCGACAGATGGTTGTATTCGAGGTAAGTGGGTCTCGACCTCGAAAGTTACTTCTTATTGCGTACACTTACACACTTTACAAAAATGAAAAATACAAACATTCCTTAACCTGAATGCATCGCTCTCACCTAGACATCTTTAGTTTTGTTCAAGCGCAACTGGTGTAAACGAATTGCGCGTCGAGCGAGTTGCAAAAGACTTCGCCTTTACATGTGAATGGTATTCGCGAGCCACGGTCGATTTGTTCGCAGCAGACGACATGCTGCAGCCGTTGCCAGTTGCGCTATCAGAGCGGGAGCGTATCAAGCACCACTCTTACTAGCCAAGGGTGGTCTAGATAGTGTGTCTCGCTGCACTCATTCACCTCCGCTCTGTTTAGAATGGAGACAAGCGCGTCGCCGCGGCAACGGCCGCCATTATTTGGCCCACGTACTCCACAATGCCCGCACTGAAAGAGCGCGGCTTTGCGGACGTTTGCTCTCGAGTTAAGTTATTTTGCGCTGGAACTGTCTTCTCGAACACAAACATGTTCACGAATGTTGCTAGATATGAGTTTGTAGGCACGCATCTCAACAAAAAGACGCATTTCTTGCACCTTAAAGTGTGGCAGATCGTATGAATCCTGACTGGTGGCGCGGCCACTCAGCTTCTGGCTGCGGCTGAGTGGTACACAGTTGCATTCATTCCTGTTCACTTTTATACGTTGTGGGTGTATATGTTCTTGTTTTTTTTTAATTCACGACAGGTCTGCTTCATTAAGGCAAGTCAAAGATGCGGAACACTGCGTATTAAGACAGTAATGAAAAGCTATGACTCCCTCGGCGACCGAACCCAAAAGCGGTGAAATAACGCATCTACGAATAATGGACAGAATATATGTCTTATGTTCGACTGACGTTAATCTAACTCGAATTCTCGACGTTCTACACACAGTATTTAGACGCGCACTATAAATGACCCAAATTTTTTTATATTACTTTGCAAAGCTTGTAGTAAAGCGAATGAATTCGCAAAACATAAAAACAACACAGCACATCCACAAAGTGAATGATGATGAGTGGGGCGAAGCGTCCGTAAAATCGTCCGTGTGTGCACGCCTTTGTTCAATATTCTATGCGTGCGTCCGTGCATGCGTTCGTCGGCTCGTGTGTCCGCAGTCCGTGCATGCGTCTGTGCGTCTGTTCGTCCACCTGTCTGTATGTATGTCTGCTGTGCTGGCTACGCATGGGGACGCGCGATTGACCTAAGGACCTCCGCCCATAAAATTTGAAGTCAGCGCCCATAGTTTGGGCAGTTACATTAAATACGGAATGATAACAAACTAAAATTGAATATGTTAGAGCATGACTTTTCCGCCCCATTCCTAATGGTGGGCTCGCTAGGCAGTTTCTGAGTTTATACTAGCTAACTCTGACACTAGCTATAGGTGCACATGCACCAATGGCATTAAAACCCGTTTTAAGTCAGGTTACATATAACTATGCATATGCAAACTAGGTTTTGTACAGCTGTAGACAGGCGATTGTACATTGCCGCAATAAGTCATTTTCAAGCACTCCCAGAACCCTACCTGGGTGCGCGAAACCCCATGAAAAAAGCCTGTACGTTGAGTGCACTGGCTCTTCCGTCACCCTCTCTACGTTGGTGCAGTGGGATCTAATGAAAAAAAAACATCTAATAAACAAACAGGAACTACGCATGTCTGAGCGCAATTTCATTTTTCTCTACACATAAAATGCGAAAGGAATAGGTGTATATCAGTGTAGTTTATTGAGTCAACGTATATATATATATATATATATATATATATATATATATATAATAAGACATTATCAATTAACGCCAGAAGAAAAAGAAGAAGACTGCTGCCTGGGGGGAGCGCGTGCTGCTTCACTTATTCTAATAAACCGTATTCGTTCGAAGCAGTGCCTGGTCTCAATAGTCCTAATGATGGTGCCGTAAACCGAGATACTACCTCCTCGCTGGCAAGAAAGGTCAACCTGCCACGGAGAAGCAGAGAACAAAACTGCAGAGGAGCAGAGTATCGACCTGGATCGAGTGACGAGACCACGATGGACAATACGAGCATCAGAACGAACGATTGACATGTAAGAGTCATTGCTATCCGCCTTAATATGAGCAAGGAAGTGATAACGAAGAGAAGGAAAGTGCTTCACTCCCAGATCACGCAATTTATTAATGCAGCCGAGCAGCAAATTATAATGAAGCTAACCGGGAGCAGCTGCTTACAACGCAGGTGCAGGTTAAAGGAACAAGCGACAGTCTTAAGAGCGCGAACGATCAAATGGAACAGTTTATGACAGTAGACAATGCTGAAGCTGAATTCAAAAGGGTCACAGAGTACGACATGAAATTAACGATGACCTTGTCTGCAATAGAATTCAGACTTCGAACGCCTGCACAATCGCATTTAAACAATGGGACAAGGCAGGTGACGCCCTGAAGTACAGGACAAGAAGCAACGAAACTAATTGGGCTACCAAAGCTTGAAATGATAATGTTTTGGAGAAAAGCTTTGAAGTGGAACCGCTTTTGGGCTTAGTACGAGTCGGCAGTTCACCGGAGACCGAACTTGAGCAACGTACAGAAGTTCAATTACTTGTTAGCATCACTGACCAGAAAAGCGGCGCCTGATATTGAAGGACTTCAGTACTTGGGAGAGGAAAACTACGACGACGCTTTAAAAATACTGCAAAAATCGTTTGGCAATCGCGAACATTCTATTGAAATCTATATGATTGAGCTCTTGGGTTTGGAGAAAGTAAGGTCTGGTCAGGATGCCGATGACCTAAATAGGCTAGTACAGAGAATGCAAGTTAATATATTGGCACTCAAGTCCCTAAATGCGCAAGCTGAGAGCTATGCGTGGATGTTGTAACCAGTAGTAAAAAGAGCAATTACACCAGAATTATCAGTGCAGTTCAAGTTAAAACAAGCTATGAGAAACAGCTCAGCTTTAGAAAACGGCGAACAAAGCAACTCAACAGGAAAAGCTGGACAGGCTTATGGTATTCTTAAGAGAGCAAGCAGCTTTTTGTGAAGAAACAAAACGCGAACAAGAGAGCATAACTCCATTACCAAGAGAGAACGGCCGACAGATGCGCACAACTTCAAGCTTTTATAGCTTAGCGGACATAATATGCTTATTCTGCAAGCAGAAAACCCACGTAACCAAAAACTGTCGCCAGAACATTCCAACGGATGAAAAGAAAGCTATGCTTACCGAAAATAGAGCATGCTTCAGATGTACGCGATCAAATCACACTGCACGCATTTTCAAGGCCCAAGTAAAATGCAAGAAATGCAAGGGACGACATGCCACGTCAGAGTGTTGAAATGTGATGCAGAAAACAAGGGCAGAGCTAGTCTCAAAAGCGCAAGCCGAAGCGACGACTTCTACGCTACATGCAACCGAAAATATCAAGCATAAGTTCGTTCTCTTGCAGATGGCAGTAGCATGCGTAGAAGGAGAAACATGTGGCTGACATTGCCGTTTGCTTTTAGACAGCGCAAGTCAACTTTAATTTATTGAAGCGGGATTAGCGAAAGAAATAGGTGCGAAGGTGCTGCGACAGGAAAGGCTGACAATTGATTCATTAGGAGGAGACGAAAAGTCAAACTAATGAACGTGGTGCAAGTGACCGTTGCATCACGATAAACAAGAATGACAATAGTGATTGAAGCGTTACAAGTCGACGTTATCTCGCATAGTTGTACGCCCACTCTAAGTCAGAAACTTAGCGAGAAAATGAAACAGCTAAAGATGCAAGTGCCTGATTACAGGACCGAGACGACTGCAACAGATTTTGTAGAACTACTGATTGGCTCAGACTATTACTGGGAATTCTTTACTTGTAGATCTTGAGGAATCGAGGACAGACTGGTGGCTGTAGAAACTATACTGGGATGAATACTGCACGGGCCGTCAGAGTAGAGCAAGGCAAAACTAACACATAGTCGAGCAGTCACGGTTCTGAAGATTAAATCTGCGGAGACAAAGCTCCAGCAAGAGCTACAGATGTTTAGGAGCCTAGAGTCAATGGTGATCACAAGAAATAGTTTCAATAACACAGCAAACGAAGTGGTCGAAGGATTCGAGCGCAAGATGGTACAACTAAATGGTCGCTATCAAGTCAGCTTGCCATGGAAATAGGACGTAAACTTGAAAAGAAACAAGGCTATCAAATCAGCTTGCCATGGAAATAGGACGTAAACTTGAAAAGAAACAAGGAAAATGCGATGAAAAACTACAGCAACTGACTAAAAGGCCGCTGAAAAATAAAGACATGCTGTATCGCTACTACAAAGCTATGTCAGAGTATTAGACATTAGGATCGCAGAGGAGGTCCAAGAGTCATCAGAACAGCCAATTGCACTTTGCGACTACCATGCCAAATCATGCGATGATTAGAGAGGACTGACCCACAACAAAGGTTGGAGTAGTGTTTGTCACCTCATCACATAATCTAAAAGGCATGTCTTTAACGACAACATAGAGGCAAGACCTAATTTGAATGAGTATATGCTATCGCTGCTCATTAATTTCCGAAAAAAAAGGTGATATTAGTAGGAGATGTTGAATAGGCATTTCTACAAATCTCTATACACGAAGAGAATAGAGATGTGATGAGATTTCTGTGGTGAAAGCATGACGCTGAGGGAAGTTTAATGAATGAAGTGCAAACATGGCGCATGACAAGAGCAACGTTCGGAACAACACCAAGCACGTTTACACTGGCAGCTACAATTAAACACCATTTGAAACAAGTGGAAGCCCGGTTTCCTATGACGACAAGGACACGGCAGAAAGCGATCTACGTGGATTATCTCATTTTGAGAGCAGTA